TCTCCGCAACCACTTGGCCGATTTGACCCAAAATGGTATGGGCTGATAGCTGCGGGCCGTGGCTACACAGCGCATTTTGTTGTACGCCGATTGGAGCCCTGTGGGCCAAGAAATGGTAGGTGTCGTATATAAGGAAGTACGACACCGGTGTCGTATATAACACTACCGCTACGTGGCAAAGTGTGTATGTGTGTTTTCGTCCTATTTGGGTAGACTAGACTGAACACATAGTCGAGGACTTTCATCAAGTAAAGGAATTTGGGCGTACTCGGAGCTTGTGTCATCAACATAGGGTGCTCACGTATCCCCCCCCGTCCGGCCTGGTGATATCCTATACACCACCCGGTAGCTCCGTCCCGGCTTTCTTTGCAAGGACGCGAGCTCAACGGTCTCACGACTACGTACGGCATGCACGGCTAAGAGTAACCCCCTGCCCCCCCGCCCCCTCCTACCCGCACGAGCCGACCATACATGCACACATGCATGCATCGCCACGGCTTTCTTCCCAGATGTACGATGTACACTAGACTACACATGGATGCCGGGAATTTGCTTAGTCTAATAACCAACTGCCCTCGTGCTGTTTCAATCTAGACTATCTTGGGAAGTCTCAAGCTGGCCTGCCTGCCACCATCTGTGTGAGCATCCCTCCTCAAGCTGTGGAGGATAGCAAGTAAACAAAGTGGGCGAGCTTTCTTTGTAGTCGGGCATCCCAGGAACAGGGGACTTCTCGACTCTAGATGAAATCCGCGCAACCGTCAGGGGGGGCTTTGGCCACGCATTTCGAGTGAGTGAGTGTTACCTCGCACTCTGAAAACTAAACTTCCAATTTCATCTCTCTTGAGATTTTCTCGATGCTCGTGTCACCTTTGAGGCACACCATGGTGCAGGGTTTTGTTGCCAGGGGACACGGGGCAGCACGCAGAACACAGGCTAGAATTACTGGCGAGAAAACAAATAAAAAGGGGGAATGGCTGCAGCCCTCCAGTCCCCTCTGTTTGCTTTCGACAAGCGTATTTGTATGCATGCACAGGAAAGAGGTACGATTGCTTTGCGTTTTTTTTTCTTCGAATGCGGAAATAATGTACATCAAGCTCACAATCATATTTATTCATGACGCACCATATGCCCCGCATGTGATGTGTTCAGCGACATACAGTATACATGTAGCCCCCCCCCCCCCCCCC